TTKSYTTKSMMCTWWYCYKKKTTTTKSCRWTCCCTTGTTCAAACAACCTCGACCCGAGAAAAAAATATYCATTGGAAAAAAGAATGATGTCCATGTSATGTAAAAAATGTAGAAGCCTAGAGATTTCACAGGTCTTTAAGGCCCCGAATAGCAAATTTACAATAAGTATAAGTATTTCGATCACCTGTAAAYTGCAATTTRAATTATTTTTGAAAGGTTTGTCATAGAGAAAGGTATGCAAATCAATGACCAGTTTGTTCAAGWTTKTCTTTTACTTTAATGCAGGTTTGTTGTGTCCTTGGTRTATTTTGCTATGTTTTTGTATGTAACAAGGCTGTTTGGCAACGTSTAYTTGAACACAGGAATCATGCAACTTACTGATCTACCAGCGCAAGTTCTAATGTGGTTGTCTATTGAGCGGTAACTACTAACATGAAATATATTTTACATCAATGTTAGTGTTTTTCATTTATCTCTRGTCCCATCTTGACCCATCTTCCCAGAATGATCGACAATACAGCACATACTGTTTTGTAAATGTCAACGGTAAATTTCAGYAGTCGATGGCTAACCATCATAAAAGGTCCATCCTGGGCATCCGTACCCCTATCAACCTTTTGCTTATGGATTAAAATATAAATACATCGTAACATATAAGCAAAAATTATTTTTTATTATCCCTTTATGCTAAATGAATGGAGATATAATTGTAAGTTTCGAGCTTTTAGCCGAAGGAGTACGAGTTAATATTTTTAAAAAGTCACCTTATTTTCCGTATATGAAAATCAAAACACGACCGTATTGAATGCTCTAGGACCATGTCCCGCTTGAAGCATTCCTTCCGCCAATCAAAACTACGAACTTGACGTGTACCAAATTACTCCAAATTACTACAGACTACTCCGTTAAAACACGGATTCGAGGAAGAAATCACAAAGACGAGTGAGGTCGGAGTTTTAATTGATGTGAGCAATCTAACAGCAACGACAAAGAATGCTCAGCTTTAGATGGTAAGAGCTGTAATATTTCGAAAATGGCGCGATCGACTCTCAAGAAATTTGTGGTGAGCTGAATCCTCATACGCCAAAATCCTAGTTAAATGTGAATCTTGTTTTTTTGTTTTCCGCTGCAGTAGTAATGGCTACCGTGTATAATCGAAGTACTTCTTGAAATGCGAGGATGTGTTTAATGTACGTGTTGGCATTTGTGATTTCAGTTTTGGGCGTCGCATCACCTTTATCACCATCATGTCCCTTTGTGGAGTAGTTCTTGTTGTATTGCCATTTGTCCAAGAAGGTAAGACAACCGAATTAATATGGRCACAAACGGACGAACAGACTAATTGCACTGCATCAGTTAGGTCACAATTCTACTTAGTAGGTCAGGGTTCTCCACCAGTAGATGGTTAGACATGCTCTCAGAGAGGGAAGTTTAAAACTGGTGAACCTGTTTCCCAATTTCTTTAATAGTTTAATTTTCGTCGGCAGCTTGTGAACTGTATAGAACCCTTGCAGTTCAWGCAGSTCGAGTTGGACAATGGATTTTAGTTCCCAAGAGAGCAAAAATATTTTAATTTGTTTTGTCTTCAAGCTGAAGGTGCTTAGAAGTCACATGGAAAAGGATTTTTCTAATTTATCACTCAAACAGTGTTCTTAATCTAACGAACAACACTATTTTTCCATTAAAAACTATCTACTAGTAAATCAATTGTAAAATTCCAGATTCCCCAAGARCCGGGACAGCGCTTTCAATTGCAGGAAAGAGTTTGATGGGCGCTCAGTTTGCCTTGGTATATCTAATAACATCCGAGTTGTTTCCGACAGTAATTAGGTAATTAACATTAAAAATTATTGCTAATCAGATTTGCCGATTTTGCCTATTCATCATCAAAGACACTAAATATTCAAAATACCATGAACAGTCATTTTTTTTATTTTCAGGAACATATCGTTGGGTACAGGATCGACTACAGCCCGTATTGGTGCTATTGTTGCACCCTTCTTTGTCATGATGGTAAGATATCATGCAGGTGGATCAAGGATGTCATCAATGGCATCTTTGATCAATTATGTTACCCCTAAAAGACATCATTGTGTGCCAAAGAACGAACGAACGGACGAACGAACGAACGAACAAACGAACGAACCGTAATACAGCCAGCCAATCACCGATCCTCGCAACCCGATAAAACCGCAAAGAAACATTCATAGGCCAAACTGAAACGTACCCACCAATTCAACCAGACAACAATATACCAATCAACTCAGTAGCCAAAAATTAGCCAATCAAATGATTGATGCCATGCAGTTTTAGCCTTTAAGTAATGCCCCGAGTAAGAACTAGGGAAGCAAATGGCACAGGAATGCAAGAAGGTGCTAATTGCGCATTGTATAATCCATCCATCCCATTGGTTAAAACATGAAAATCTGCTATAATTTCACAAGTTAGCAAATTTTCTAATATTTTATTTAATGTCTGTTTTCGCTTTCATGAAAGCTTTCTTTAGCTTTAATATTAAGGCAATTCTACGTGGGGAACATAGCAAATTAGAAGCATCTTTTGGTTATTGTTTTGAGTGCTTATGATTGGATAAGAGCTTTTAATACGAAAGAAACTATGTTTCAAAATAGAGTTTATCCACATTTTATTTCAAAAATGTGTTACCCACATATGGATACATAATCAGTGTGAAAACCAAGACATTCGTACATGGGGAACTCGCTATGCCGCAGAACAATAGAGTTCTTTTGCGCATTGTTACTTAAAAAGAATACTACAGTTTCGAATTCTCTTTTGAGMAAGCTTAGCTTCAATCATGCATAAAGTTTTATTGTCTTTTTTGTACACAGAGTGTTTGCATTACAATAGTTTCCTGATGAATAAAAGAATATATCACATGCTTTCGAGGTTAAGGCTGCACAAATAAGATCTCGAAACTGGAGTATTAATAAACGTTTTCTATTTTCAAGGCCCAGCTTCCTAACATCTCCCTCATCGTTCCGTTGTGTTTATTCGGAGGTCTTGCGATGGTTGCAGCTMTTTTGTCTTTAATGTTACCAGAGACATTGTTTAAAAACATGGAGCAGACAATYGAAGAAGCAGAAAAAGTCGAACTTGACTACAGAATTCCTTGTTGTGGAAAGAAACGCGCAAGGGATTGCATTATTAACGAAGAGGAAAGTCGTGGATTAAGAACTACTGAATTGTAACCGAATAGACTTCTGAACCTTTTACGTCACTACTTGATTTTCAATGCRTTGTGGGATCAGTTTCAAGAGAAAACAAAACAAATCCGCCATGTTTTGTYCCAAACATGTCCTACAATGCATTGCGTATACGGTACATGACGTAAAAGCTGCAGAGGTCTATTGACTCTGGAACTCATTAGAATTACCATAACATATGAATTACAMAAAATRCCTGCAATTTTACTTGACAGCAATCATATTATTTTCCCTTGTCAGGGRAAACAGCGTAAACCAATCTTTTAATCATCATTTTCAATTACGTACAAATTCCATTGATTGGAAGACCACACACTATATGCTGTACATGCATGCATTATAATGCATTAATTACGKTAAGAGTTTGTGAGTTTTTGTAATAACTTATTTTTATACATACACTAATTAAATGATTAGACCCCTCTTTGACCCGTCGTTCTTCTCCAAGTGTGCTTTAGTTTCAGTAGAACTGTTTGCGGTTGGTTTGTATCTCTACTTTTAAGGCTCAGTTTTCAGCCATTTGGATTTCGTGCGTGCCTGTGAGACTTTCTCGAAAAATGAACTTGGTCCTAAAAACTGCTGACAACTGAGTCTGAAAGTACCTTTCTTGATCGAAAGTCAATGTTTTACGTATTTGGTATCATTTCCATTTCCGATATTTCGCAAATTGTGCACGTTCATTATCTTATTTTCAAATGAAATTGGCTAAAGGTATAAAGAGCAGAGCAGAGCAGAGCAGAGCAGAGCAGAGCAGAGCAGAGCAGAGCAGAGCAGAGCAGAGCAGAGCAGAGCAGAGCAGAGCAGAGCAGAGCAGAGCGTAAGACGCAGACATTGTTGAATATAGATTGCCTTGTTTTATGTACAAGTATAGATTTGTTGAGAGTAGATTGTCTTATCTATGTACAAGTATACA